ATTTTATAAAAAACCTGTTTCAGTAAATCAGTACTTACAGAAGAATGTGTAACAAATGTGTACAAATCGAATGTTAAACACCTTGGACTGTGTATTTCCTCTGACCTGTGTTTCCTCGTTTTCCCACATCATGTTAGTTTCCAGAAAGATATTTCGTTTGAATTTCTATGTGAGGACATTAAGACGGTCTGGTATCATTCCGTCTCTACTGTTACCGTTTGTTAATTCTTGTATTCTGCCTATGCCTCTTTACTGTTCCCCCTGAATATTCTCCGGGCGACTTAAGAAAGACTTTATTATACTGTGAAGGGCACTAAAAACTGCCAGTAGGGCCAGTGGGTGTGGTGTTGCTGAACCAACTCGTTAATATTATTGTAGATGGGCGCTTGGATTCCTGCAAGAATCTGAACATCCTCTCCACATACAACTCTCTCTTTGCATCTCATTGGGTAGAACTAGAAACAACTATAGAAGATTGTATACTCGGATGACTAAGTACAAAACTCTGCGACACCTTATTTAGCACACATCACATTTAATGCGATGAGAAGAGTGTACGACAGGACAATACCAATTTACTGAGAAACCCTAAGTAATCGGCATTGTTTTTTGTTCTCATTATTGCATTATCGCTAACATTTTCACTTGATTTAATTTTATACTCACTTCTTGTTGAACAATATTATTAATGTAAATGCGCTGTTTTAATAACTGCCCCTGAAAGACGAAAATTGGATGCAATATTGTATTACGTGCTGAAATTTCCATATTTGTACCAAAAGTACTGTTCGTAACAAAGCTGCTGTTAGTATTGTTACTTTCATCTTATGACTAACCATCAGTCGCTTGAAATCGTTTCTAATTTATCCACCAAATAGCATTTCGCCTCCCCATTCAACCAATGCAAAACGTATAGCTTTATTTGATCTCTGTAGTGGTGTGATATGTAATGCATTGTGTGTAGTAATTATTTTGACTCCACATTGATATGTGTAAATTGCAAATTGCGGATTTTCATCATATTGTTATCTTATGCAAGCTCAGCCTATAAAATATGGATAAAGTTGTAATGCATCAATTATTTGTCATGTAGTCATTGAAACTGATTCTCAGTCTAATTTTATCCTGTTGTTGTAAGTGATATAAATACTTAATCTTTTTCAGATTAATTTAATCGCACCACCGCTTTATGTGTTAACGACACAAACAATGGATAGAGCTGCGGGTCTAGACCATTTAAATGAAGTATTGAACGTCATCAAAAAATCAATTGATAGTCAAGGTGGATCATTTAAGATACAACAAGCAGTAAGTTGATATTTGTTTATGATGTCGAAAAACCTAATTTGGACAATTTTAATAGATACTAACTAACATTTCTTCTACTCAGTGATTCATTATCACATTATTATTATTATTTTCATTATCGCCAACATTATGGACACAAGAAGTATTCTGTAATATATTTCGATATTTTTTACGTGAATCCACAACTGGAAACTTATGGAATCATTCGAAGTGAAGACGGGAGTAAGACAAGGCTGCCTACTATTGCCAATGATTTTCCTGATTGCAGTAGACTGGATAATGCGGGCAATAAGGAAACAGGTATAAAATGGACTCACACAAAAAACTTGGAGGATCTGGACTTCGCCGAAGATATATATCTGATTTCCCACAAACTGGAAGATATGCAAGCGAAAAGCAACAAGTTGGCAGAAGCATCAGGTGAACATAGAGAAAACAGAAGTGATGAAGATTCCTGAGCAACACCAACAGCAACAACAACAGACAACAATCAGCATAAATGGGAGGAACCTGAAAGAAACAACCTCTTTTACCTACCTGGGAAGCATCGTTTCAACTACAGGCGAACGGAACTGACGAGGATATCAAAGCAAGAATCGGGAAAGCAAGACAAGCTTTCATTACTCTCAAGTCTGTGTGGAGGTCAACAGCACTCAGAATCAAAAATAAGATCCGGATTTTCAACTCCAATGTGAAGTTAGTGCAACTATACGGGTGGACCAGACTTGGCGCGTCATAAAGAGCATCTCAAACAAACTACAGACCCTCATTAACAGTTGTCTTCGCTCAATACTCAAGATCAGATGGCTGGCCAGAAAAGATCAACAACAGAGATCTCTGGCAATGAGCGAACCAACCAGGAACCGATTGTGAAACAGATAGGCAGGAAGAAATGGAGATGGATTGGCCATACTCTGATAAAACCATCAAGTGACATCACTAGACAAGCCATTGCTCGAGTGGAACCCAACTGAAAGGGAAGCGGCGAGTTGGTCGTCAGTGCAAGGGTGACTTGGAGGAGGTCATGTGAAGAGGAGATGAAAGTGTGTGGGCAGACATGGAGCCAGGTGAAGACTCTAGCAGAGAACCGAACGCAATGGAGACGCACGGCTGAAGCCCTATGTTCCTCTAGGAATTAAAGGAAACAATAATAATAATAATAATAATAGCATAGTTATCTTTGTGATATAGTTGTGTTCTCTGAGCTGGATGACTTAATTGTAAAGCTTCAGTTGTCCTATCTAGATAACATCTTCCATGCAAGCTTTAACATGAAGTTAGCTTATTATTTGAATTCTTTAATTAAATCACCCAGCTCAGAGAACACAACTGCATCAAAATCATCTATCTAGGCTACAAATCTTCTTTATTATTACGAAGTTATCTTTGTTGACATTTACTTGTGTCTTTCGCAATTGGTTTAGAACTTCATAAAATTCATTCTTTTGGAGTTCACGAAAATTCTCACTACGCATACTCAAAACTTCATAAATGCCAGAATCAGTTATTTTTTATTGTTGAGTTCCAGCATAAACGACAGGATAACAGCACTCACCTTTGTTTGATACAACTACTTGTTATTACTGGGTGCTGTAAGTGGCCAAACGCTTGTTTGATATGGAAGCCAGTTCAGCCATTCCAAAGCTTCTTAACTGCTTTGAAGACGCAGTCTATAGAACTGTGTTAACTAGTTAACATGTGTCTCTTATTTGCACAACATTAAACATGAATTTTGTTCATATGTCCTCCTATTTTCTTGATTATTCAGGAACTCATCGTTTCTGTAGTTTTTCGATTTAATGTTGTTAAAGTAATAATAGAAATGATTGCTGAATGATTACTTGAGACTAACTGATAAGTTCTGTATTCATCCGGTGATTTGCTTACTATGACAAAGTGATATATATATATATATATATGGAGTGGAGTATTAGAGCGTGTTGACCACTCCACTTATTTGGGCAGTTACCTCAGTCAGTGACAGCTGGTGGATAGCTGACAATATCTCGACACGGATACAGAAGTCTCGTTTGGCATATGCCAGCCAACTTACACCATCTCTGGCGTAGACGTGATATCCGTCTGGCTGTCGACCAAAGGACGTGTGTACTGCTCAGCAGTTCGCTGAGACCTCCTTCATGGCTGTGGGTGAGACATGGTCATTGAAAGTGGAAGACGTGAAAAGCCTGGCTGTCTGTCTTTGATCACGGCTGTCTGAGTTCTATCTCCCGTACTAGGTGATAGATGTAATAGTGTGAGCAATATTGAGGTAAGGCATCGATCGGTCGACTGCTAGGTAAGGAGGGTAAATCGATCGACGAGGTTGTGGAGTTTCATCGATTGAGATGATTAGTACATGTGTTTGTTACGCATGCTCAGCCATTGATCGCCTTCGTCGACAATGGGCAATGTTAGCTGACATAGGATGGATCAGGTTGGAGAAGAGATAGCCGGTGGTGGTCAAAAGAAAACATGGCTTCATCAGTCAATGAAATCCATAAGTTAGTTTGAGCCTTCGACGTTGGGAGGTGTAGACTTCCTAGTTGGGGTCCTCGGGTTGGTAAAAACCAATGAAGGCTGGAGACAATTGGTGATATGGCTCAAAATCATTCTCAATGACGCAGTGCATTCGCTTTCTGTGATTTATCAGATCCAATAGAACTCCAATATTCTCTCATATCACTATTCTTTTTGCCTCATGCTTCTGTTTGTTATCTCTCTTTTGAATCTTTCTCCACTCTCTTCTCCTGCTTTGTGTGCTACATGGAGTGTGGTGACTCGAACTGCTGCACATCGGTGCAAAGTTCTACGTTGAAACCAGTCATGTATATATATATATATATATATATATATATATATGAACATCTTAAATTCGGTTAATAAACGAAGTTTTTATTTACTGACATGGATGCATTTTTCCATAGTTAGCTAATTAGTTTATTTTCCTTTCTTTTCTTTTAGCCTCGTGTTGTTTCTGACACAGATGAAGCCGATCTTCAACGTCAAATGGATGAGTTAGAGAAAGCAAATCGTGAAGTTTCCGGTGACGAGGATGATGACGAGGATGATGATGAGGAGGATGAAGATGATGATGAGGAAGGAGAAGATGGAGAAGCGTCAGAGGATGGAGATCAAAATGGGCACAAATAATACTATTCTTTCCTAGTTAACTGTTAAATACCTGGATAAATACAATGTGTATGGCTCTGACTTCTTGTTATTACACTGTACTTAAGAAATAAGTTGAAAAAGCCTTTGTTTTTTTCAGTATACGATGTTTTCTAGTCTTTGATTAGTTAGTTCTACAAAGTGAACCGTCAAGAAACCATTTAAAGTCCTTCGATAAGACTTCCATAGATTTTAACCATGTATTAGAATGCGTATGTAAGTTTGGTAGCGTGAACCCATTCTCAGGAAAGCTAGCAGCATATAATCCCCCGTAGGAAAAGTAGTGAGGATAGTACTGACACTTGGACTGTAGACAACTAGATGTCTAAGCAACAAGGGAGCTACGAACCGTCTTAGAAAGGTGAGGAGCGTAAGATGCTAAAACGGAAGACTTAGATCAACCTTTTCATTTTTTCTTCGGCTCTTCATACTCTGTAGCTTCCCGACCGCTAGGTGCTACATTGACGTGGTGGTTGGGCTTGCATATTGCAATGACCCAACAAGCTACACTGGCTGAAACTAATGTTCCTGCAGGTCCTACCATGCCAGGAAAGTTGTTAGGACAACGATTATAGTAAAAGCAGTTACCGGCATAGTGTAGGATTTTTTCACACTATTCTTGGGGTCATGAAGAAAATAAAAGACAATTCAGCGAATAGAATTTTCTTTATCGACGAAATCATCTTCAGAGACTGTACAGTCGTATTTATAATTACCAAAATTGTATAGTAGTCTATTATTGAGTAATGGGGTTGACTTAATTGATATAATTACTCAGAAGTGGCTTTAGAAGTAAAAATAGAAATTACTTAGTATTCAACTGCACAAAGGAAGAAAGGGTTAGAAATTTGGTTAGGTTAAAATTGCTATTGATTAAGAATAAAAGTAGTTGAGTGTCAACTTAGCAATTGTGGAAAGGGTGTGCAAATGTACAAAAAGAACAGGTGAGAGTGATAATAGTGAATTGATTATTAAACTAAGTTTGAAAATAAAAATAAATAAAATCTTTTACAGGGAACGGCTAATGAAGAGGTCAAGACCATAAGAATGAGAGACTGAACAAACTTTTTCTGTAAACAGAGTTCGGGGTTGCATTGAAGAATTGCCCACGCCTCCACCATATACAAATGCGGAAACCTGACGCCCTTTGTACCATTTGGCCTGACTTTGTAGATGATTTTGAAGGACGACTCTGGTGGAGCTACGTGGCTTGAGTTCACCAAGTGCTCGTTAACTGAGCTGGTAACTGTCTTGCATTGTCCTTCTGCTAACCATGCCGGATAATGTTCAGGGATGCGTTTGGAAAGTGTGCGCTTGTGCGGCCAATATAACTAGTTCCACACCAGCAGGCGAATTTATAAAAACACTGAAGTGGTCCGAAGTGACAGTTTATCCTTCACACATCCATTGATCATTTGTTGGCTGTATAAACTGATGCGTAGCTCAGGCACAAAGAAAGCTTTTCTCAGTGGTCTGCGTAAGTGATTCTTGAGGATCACAGCTGCAGCATCATCTGAAAATTCAACGTTTATAAGTAGCAGTTTCTTCGGCACCGTCTGGGTTCTTTTAGGCTTTTGCTTTAATTTCATCTTTTTCTCGATGAATATTGGAGGATAACCATTTTCTATGAGCACTCGTCTGAGTTGCTCCAGTTCCCCGTCGACTGTATCACTTAAACATATCATTCTTATTCTTGAGGAAAAGAAGTGGATCAGGTTTCTCTTGGTTGTATTCTTGTCTAACTTGTAGAACATTCATATGGTTGATGATGATTGACTGGAAGTAAAAATCTGACTGCTGGCAAGATTCGGACCAATAGCTTCCGATTTACTCATCATTTGACTGACTAACTGTGCTTTAATATAGAACTTTGCCCATACATGCAGCAATTCAAGCAGCCACACTCCATATAGCACACAAAGGAGGAAGAGAAATAGATTCGAAAGGACCATAATAAACAGAAATGTGGGGGAGAATGGATAGCAGTGTGAGAAGAAACTTGACTTTAGTGGATATGGGATATTACGAAAAGTGAGTGCGTCTCCGCCATCGGAAACCATCCTGAGCCATGTCACCAATAGCCTCCAATCATTGGTTCTTAGCATCCCAAGGACCCCAACTAGGCCGCCTAAACCTCCTTATGTGGCTCAAACCAACTGCCAGTCTTCATGAACTGATGCCGGGTTTCGATCAGACCACCACACTGTTCTTTGAAGAAGGAGATGGTTTGGCCTACTCAAAACGTGTCCTAGACATCTCAGTCGGTGTAGCTTCACAACCTCATCGATTGACTTACCCTCCTTACCGACCGCTCTACGCCTAACGTCAATACTACTCAGCATACTATCCACTGAAGAAGGGAGACAGAGCGCAAACATCTGTGGTCAAACGCAGTCACCTGCACTTCTGAAGCCATAACAAGTTCCATCAGTAGTTATGGAAGAGGAAAATCTCACAACTATGACGCACATTTAATTCATTTTTTCAGACTGAGTTATACAGTAACTGCAACGCGGGGGCATTCATTTGCAACCGAGTGGAAAAACGTGTTTAGCATTTCTCGTTTCAATACACTTTAAGAATGCATTAGCAATTTAACTGTCAGTCATATATGACAACTTTTGTGTCATAAAATGATGTTTTGACATTAAAAATTGATGTTCAGCTGTAATAAAAAGCCGCCCCTAATATATTAGATCATATATCTAGATTCCACTGATACTAGAGTATGGATATATGTTTAGTGAAAGTATTCCCCATTTGATAATTCCTATTAGTATTTCACGGCTAACGTGAATCTTCGTGTAGCTGTTGTATATGTGTTTCTATAATATGCTAATATTTCTGATTCGTTTGGTTTTTCGGCGAACGTAGCTACAAGCTTCAGTTTATCCTATGCAATAAAACAGCTAGCTCCTGGTGTTGGTGTAAGTTGAACTGTACTTTCTTTTCGTCTCCTGTACTTTGTTGAGCATTCTGCTCAGTTTCATGACTAGCAGCTTCAATTACCACAATCATGTCACCATGTAATAGCTGCTGATGTTCGCCTATACTTTCTGAAAAACCAGTAGTTGACGTTGAATCGAACCCTGATCATCAGGTACAATAGAATGGGCAACCATTTAGTCAGTTGTCTCAACATAATTGGAACAAATATTATGATGACTACCAAAAAGCTAAACCACCACAAGGCTCACTGAAGCAGTATCAGATCCTCTGAAAGAGTCACCAATGCCACTGGTAGCTGCTTGTAGTATTGGTCCAGTCGAGTGGCGAACAGAGGTCTCTAGATAGAGCTACAGTGTCTGGATGACGACTCAACTTTCACTTGCATCCACCACTGTGCAGACAAAGCTGATTAAAATACAACACTTCTTATGCCAGTTACTTTTCACATCTAGCATAGACCGTTCGTAAACTTCTGTTAAAGATCTAGCATAGTATAATTTCATCTGCATCGCGTAGTGGAATAGTACAACGTAACTCGTAGGTTGAAAACCTGAGATGTGCTTTCCGAGGTGATTACTATTGTCCTGGGCTCCGAGCACATCGCCGTCTCACTCTGTTCTCTACAGTGTTTTCTAGCTGGCTTTACGATCACCTGCAAGCTTTCATTTCCTCTCCACACAATCTCTTCAATACCACACTCGGACGCTCAAGACATCGCTCCTCATGCGGGTTCCACTTGGAGATCCGGTGTGTGATGTCATGCAACCGCCTCCTCAATGTGTGTTTAGTCAATCTCAATTTCCTTCTGCATACTTCTTTAGCAATAGGTTACTGGTTGTTTCGTTGTCAAAGTTCCTTGTTGCTTATGGTTGTTTCTAGCCAGCCATCTGTCTCTCAGTATCAGTCCAGAGAAGACAGTTTCCAATGAAGTTTTGTGGTCGCCTGTTACAAATGCTTTCCGTGACGCCTACACCAAGTATCTGAACCGTAGAGAATCACTGAATTGACATTAGTGTGGGAGATTTAGATTTTTCCTCATGTTCTGGATGTAGTATAATTCCAAACCGATGTCAGAGCAATGAAGGTCTGTCTTGCTTCCACGGTCCCGACTTTGACATCCACATCCGCGCCATTTCCTTGTAGATGGAACGATGAAGTAGAGGCAAGAGGTGAGTTCCTTTACGTTCTTTCCGTTGATGGTAATTAGTGCTTGCTGTTGGTTAGATATCTTAATCACCTGTATCTTCTCTACGTTCACTTGAACTTCTGTCCACACTGACCCTTCCGCAAATTAGCTGGCTTTCGTTTGCAGACCTGCGAGTTTGTGTGACACTAGACGTAAATGATCTGCGAAGTCCAGATATTCTAGTGCAATTTGTCGGTCCAACTGACACCACATGATCTGTAGCGTCATGCAGTCCACTACAATCAGTCATATCATCGTTCTCTTACTCCTGTCCTCCCCTCAAACGCTTCGCTGAGTTTTCCGTTGTGAATCACTCTGAATGTGGCATCAACATATTGCTGCTGAATGTGGTTTATTAATGTTTGCTGAGCTCCATTTCCTGGAGTCGAACCAATCTCCAAATCACTTCATGGTGGACGCTATCGTAAGACTTTCCAAAGACGATGATGCCGAATCGGAGAGTTAATAGCGATTCTGTGCTATGTTCGATGATGATGTGTAGCGCTGCAATTTTATCAGCATATGATTGACTTTTCTTGAATTTGGCTTGATCCGGGTGGAGTTTCGCATCCAGTGAATCTTTTAGTGTTTGTGGGATGATCCGATTCAATGTTTTGCTTGGTATGGACAAGAGCATGACTCCACCGTAGTTCATTCAGATGCCTAAGTCGTCCTAATATGGGAGTTAGATACGATGGTTTTGTTTCAATCGGTAGGTAGCCTTCCTGCAAAAGCTTCTACAGTAGTGGTGTGAGCACATACGTTAAGGTTCCTGTGTCTGTTTTCTTTACTTCTGACTGACTGGTTTCAACGTAGAACTTTGCACTGATGTGCAGCAGTTCGAGTCACCACACTCCATGTAGCACACAAAGCTAGAGAAGAAACTTAAAAGATGAGCGAATAAGAGATAGTAAACAGAATTATGAGGCAAAAAGAATAGTGATATGAGAGAACATTGTAGTTCTATTGGATCTGATAAATCACAGAAAGCGAATGCACTGCGTCATCCATCAAGAACGATTTTGAGCCATATCACCAATTATCTCCAGCCTTCATTGATTTTCACCAACCCGAGGACCCCAGTCAGGATATCTACACCTCCCTACGTCTCTGACTTGACTGGAGAAGCCATGTTTTCATCTGACCACCACCAGCTATCTCTTTTCCAAACTGATCCATCTTATGTCAGCTAACATTGCCCATTATCGAGGAAGGCGATCGATGTCTAGGCATGCGTAACAAACACATGCACTATTCATCTCGATCGATGAAACTTCACAACATCGCCGACTTATCTCCTCTCCTTACCTAGCACTCGACCGATCGATGCCTTACCTAAATATTGCTCACACTATTACATCTATCATCTAATACGGGAGATAGAACGCAGACACTGATGATCAAAGTCAGTTAGCCAGGCTTTCCATGTCTTCCGTTTTCAACGAGCATGTCTCACTTACAGCCATGAAAGAGGTCTCAGCGAACTGCTGAGCAGTACACACGTCCTTTGGTCGACAGCCAGCCGGAAATCACGTCTACGCCAGAGATGGTGTAAGTTGTCTGGCATATGCAAAACGAGATCTCTGTATCCGTGTCGAGACACCGTCAGCGACCAACCCTCTGGCACAGACTGAGGTAACTGATCAAATAAGTGAAGTGTTCAACACGCTCTACCAATGACTTTACTCCTGCCTGTCTTTAAGCTAGCAATCGGTGTAGTCCAGTCCAGTCCAGTCCTGTATCATCATCTTACATTTGACAGCGGGAGCGAATCGCATTCCAAACATTAGGAGATTGCTGCTGCTCAAGGTGTTCAGAAGACTGAATTTTGTCACAGTCCTCACCTAGGAGGTAGGACTAAATCATCTGCATATTCTAAGTCAACGAGACTATTATTCCTTGACAACAAGTCAATCGCTGAGTCGCTGAAGTCAGATAGGGTTAAGTCCATTTGTACAGTATTGATGAAAACAAACAATTTATCACACAACTTCCCTTCAGCTACAGACAACCTGAGATATACATAGATATAATGAAATGAGAATAAAGCGAAAGTTTCTATTTTGACAGCTCCGAATAAGTCGGTGTTCTTAAATCATCAGTTCCACTTTTGATCACATACATGAAGTAGTTACACAACGCCTAAGTAATGCAGCAAAAATAGCATTGAATGCGGAAATTAACTGTCTCTTAGCAATCACTCCAGTTTTACATTCTGAAATTAAAAATATACTATCTTATTTTGCTTCCCCTACGTGTATATGCGAGTTCGATTGCTCCTGTGGCGCCAGTTACATCGGTCGTAAAATTAGGCATGTTCATAATGGAATTTCTGAACATTAACCTGCATGGGTAAGCAGTCTCTTCATGGTCCTGCTCTATCTCACCTTTTAGAAGCTTAAAATAAACTCGGGTTTAACAAGTCGTGTTAGGTTATCCAACGTATTCCGACTGATCTTTATTTTGTCTTACGAGTTCGTTTTCTACATGTAACTGAAGTGTCTCAAGCCACATGCAGAAGTCAAACTTATGTGTTCAAAACGAATTCGTATAAATGTTTTCCTTACCTTTGTCAGCTCTACATGATTATGAAAATTTGACAGTTTCCCCTTGCCTCTAAGTCTTTTACCCGCTTTCATTGTTTGAACTATCTTTAATTGCTGCGTACATTTTCTCCTTAATTTTACCTGGTATTCAATGTGGTACTACATTTCCATGCATATCATCACTTATACATGCTTTCGAGCTGAAATTCTATTGGGCTTCAAAACTTGATATTATTTGAAAAACATTTGTACTGTTAATATCAATAACTCTCTGACTGTTTTGTGTATAGATAACTGCAGATACAAATGAGGAAGTGATCGAAAAGAATATTCTTTACTCAGTCTTTTTCGTCTTAGAAATGAGAGTATGCATTGTTTTACATTCTGCTAAGCAGAAGTTGAGCATGAAGTGTTATGTGATGTCATTAACAGTACAGTTGACTTAAAAGTAACTAGTTATTTGTCACTTTCGAGAAGCTTCGGTAAATGACCTAAGAACAAAACACTGATTAACCAGCGATATACTGGGGAAAAGATTAAGCCATAATATGTAACAAAACACCGAAAAGTTATGTGAAATCGATCAAGTGAGTTGAGGTCAGTGGGTCAGAAAATGATGATTACAGTAATAGCAGTAGTAACAGTAATGATGATAATAATAATAATAATAGAGAACAGAATATGTAATTATGTTGTGAGTGGAATAATTGTTACCAGGGTGAACTTAGATTCATCGTGGTTTGTTTCTGTATACACATGGTCAGTTTGAGTAGCTTGATAGCTATAGATCCAGGTGAGCGTAGTTACTTTGAATTACTTTTCTTGTTAATAGTGGTAAATGAAGTTAGAATATCCACTTTACGTTCCGATTCCAGTAGACGTCGGCCAGTGGTGCTCTTAAGGGACTGGGGACCTTTGAATCTGGAGGTTGGAACATGTTCGAGGAAGCGGGTGGATGCCCATATTTGTGTCCTTTCCATGTACTTTCCTTCGCACACATACGTGAACTTGTAAACAAAGCTGGAGGTGGCTTCTGATGCGTACCTGCACACTTTCATTTAATAAACAACACAAATACTTTTGTAATTGGAAACAAGTCTGGCTGTCAGATAGGCTGAAGCAGTGGCAACTTTTAGTCTTTTCTTTGTTCGGTGTGACACATCACTTCCTTTGAAAGTTCACTGGATAAGTATGGGCTTCCACTGTAATCTCTCCCTCTTCATCATATGATTTTTTCACACATCTGTTTTCCAAGAAAGTTCAACTCTCCACGCAGTCTGTCTATAAGAACGACTGGAGCTGAAGAACAGCTCCACTGTGTACCAAATCACCATTATCAAGTACATATATAGGTCTCATAAGTTGTACAGCTCTCCCTCCTCGAAAGAGAAGGCACTAATCCAGTGCCTGCTCGCGGAATCGGATAAGCCAGTTTTCCGTCTTTTGCAACTTCACACTTAGAAGCCACCAGTGAGGTGTTAGAGGTTGACGGAGCTGGGATGTCATAATGTACTGTCAGTATTTCTTCTGGCCTCTGCAAATATCGTATGACGAAAGCGACAGGAGAACGTTTGAGGATGATTTGGCAAGGATAGTGCCATGGGATAGCAAACGTACTGGTTTGTGGTCGATATCACCAAACACGGTTCCATGGTATATAGGTATCACCAGGGGTTAACCAATCATGGTTCAGTTATACATATGTGGCTGCTTCATTCCCTCGGAGCTTCTGTAAATATGAAGTGTATTCCAAAGTCTCATGGGAGAGAAGAGTTATGTGAATTCCACATGTTACGCGTAGTTTATGCCCGAAAAGCAGACGGGCCGGAGGAAATCCAATCCACAAGTGCTTAGCTACCCGGCATGCAAGTAGGTTTCGTGGCAAAACTTTATCCTAGGAATCAATCGAAGTGTGACTGACGAAAGCCCTAGGTGTTGCTTTAACTGTTCTGTTCGTGAGTTCTATCTTGTCGTTCCCCTGTGCATGATAACGGGTAGTGCATGTCTTCCCAATCCTGAATATAGAACAAACCTGGCTACCAGTCGGCTTTCAATAGCCACTCCCTGATCACAGTGCAAGGCCACTGGAACTCCATACTGTGTTTTCGCCATATTAACCGTGTCTCGCTGTGGGATTACTACCGCTTCACACCACTTGTTAAAACAGCGGATCACGAATGGAATATATCGATTACCATATTTTGTTCTTGGTAACGGTTTCATAATGTCAATTACTAAAAGTTGGTGTGGTCCTGTCGTTGGCATCAGGACCATCGGATCACATGGTCTGTGGACTGGTGATTTAGTGTATCCACAAGTCTTACGAGTTCTAGAGGTCTTCTCAACATCACGACGTAACAATGGCTACCAAAACCGTTGCTGATGCGTAGCTGCTGCCTTAGATGAGCCAGCATATCCAAATACTTGATGCGTTCTCCTAACTGTATAATACAGCTTTGATCAGGGTGCTATAGGACGTGGTATTTTGGCTGGTTCTTCTGAATAAAAGATATTATTAGCCAAACGTAGATATCCCCACTTGACACAAATATGACGCGACACTGAGTAATGCGTTCAGCATCCTGGTAGTCTGCGATTTACGTGATAATGGCGTTGGCATTACGATGTGATGCTCTTTTTCTATATTCTAAAATGAATTAGAAAAGCTGCAAAATTCTTGTCGATGAACAAGCTAGTTGTCTGCATCACGGAAATTCTGCAGCCATTGCAACGCTCTGTGATCCGTTGATACCTGAAATTTTAGCCTCAATTGGTAGCGTCGAAAATAACTTTTTAGAAAGTTTATATATTGTTATTGTTCCCTTGGGTTCCTAGTGGAACATAGGGCTTCAACTGCACGCCTCCACTTGCTTCTGTCTTGTGCTGTACTTTTCACTTGCGTCCATGTTAGTCCATACTGTTTCATCTCCTCCTAACACGATCTCCTCTATGTCACCCTTGCTGACGTCCCACTCGCCGCTTCCCTTTCCCGTTCCACTCGAGCTACGGCCTGACGCGCGATGTCACCCAGCGGCCTCCTCAGCGAGCGTCCAATCTATCTCCACTTTCTCCTGCATATTTGTTGGGCGATTGGTTCTTGTTTTGTTTCTTCCCATAGTTTCTTGTTGGTGATTCTTTCCGGCCATCTGATCTTCAGTATAGAGCGAAGACAGTTGTTGATAAAGGTCTGCAACAGGCTGTTGGAAATATTCTTTGTGACCCGCCAAGTTTCTGATCCGTATAGAAGAACTGACTGACTTGACGTTTGTATTGAAAATCTGAATCACTTTGTTGTTGATGCTGAGTGACGAAGATTTCCGGATTGTTTTCAGGTTGATGAATGTGTTTCTCGCCTTCCCGATTCTCGATTTGACATCCTCGTCCGTTCCTCCTGTGGTTGAGACAATGCTCCCTAGATAAGTGAAAGAAGTAACCTCTTTCAAATCCCTCCCGTTGATGGTGATTGGCACTGGATGTTGCTGCTGTTGTTGGTTGGTTATTTCCATGACCTCCGTCTTGTCTATGTTCACCTGGAGTCCTGTCTTTGCTGCTTCTTCGACCAGTTTGTCGGTTTTTGCTTGTAAGTCTTCGATTTTGTGTGACATCAAACATAAATCATCCACGCGCGAAATCCAGGTCTTCTAGGTTCTTCACGTCGGTCCAGGATATCCCTGTCTCCTCGTTTCCCGCTGTCTGACGCATAATTCAGTCCACCCCAATTAGGAATATCATTGGTGATAATAAGCACCCTTGTCTGACTCCTGTGTTTACTCCAAACGCTTCGCTGAGCTTTCCGTTGTGGATCACTTGATATGTGCCGTTGTCGTACAGTTGTTGAATAAGGTTGATGAATATTTGGGGTACGCCGTAGTACTCGAGTAGTTTCCAAATTACTTCGCGGTCAACGCTGTCGAAGGCCTTCTCAAAGTCTATGAAGGAAGTTGAGGTAGAGGTTTGATTTCCATTCCATGCTTTGTTTGATGATGATGCGTAGAGTTGCAATTTGGTCAGAACATGATTTGCCTTTCCTGAATCCAGCTTGTTCTGGTCGGAGTTCTGTATCCAGTGCGTCCTTTATTCTCTCCAGGATGATGCGACTCAGGATTTTACTTGGCGTCGACAGGAGCATGATTCCTCGCCAGTTCTTGCAAAGTCCTAAGTCGCCCTTCTTTGGTAGTTTCACAAGGTAACCTTTCCTCCAGTCAGTAGGCACCTTTCCCTCTTTCCAGATCTTTTGCAATAATGGAGTCAGCATATCTGCTGTCGTTTCTGGGTCCGCTTTCAATGCTTCCGGGGGTATTCCATCTGGTCCAGCTGCTTTTCCAGCTTTCAGAAGCTTGATTGCATTCAAGACTTCAGCTTTCGTTGGAGGATCGGTGTCAACTTGCAGTTGTGTACGTGCTGTTGTTGGTATTTCTGAACGGGTTGTAGGTGGTGGTCTGTTCAAGAGTCCTTTGAAGTGGTCCGCCCATTGTTTAATCTGTCTTTCTTCTTTGTTAATCGGGTTCCCTTGGCTGTCTTTTATAGGTTTCACTTGTGTTGATCTCTTCCCGGATAGAGACTTGGTTATCTGATATAGTGTCCTCAGGTCCCTTTTGCCTGCTGCCTTCTCAGCTTCAGTAGCCAGATTGTCGTAGAATTGTCTTTTGTCCTTCCTGGCACTCTTCTTCACTTCTTTGTCCAGTGCTGTGTAAGTTGAACTCAGCGTCTCTTTCTCTTGTCCGTCTTTGCATTGAATCATTTTCTCTTTCACCATTCTCCTCTCCTCTATTAGCTTCCAAGTGTCCATTGAGTGCCATTCCTTGTCTTGTTTCTTCTTTCTTCCTAAAACCGTTGAACACGTCTCGTTGAAAGTCACCTTCAGAAAGCTCCATTGGTCTTCCACGGATGATTCCTCAGTGATACCCCATAGTGTTTCGTGCTTTGCTCTGACAGTTGAAGTGAAAGTGTCCTTTGTGGTTGTGTCCTTCAGTTTTTGAGTGTTGAACTTGCATTGTGGCCTATCCCCAGCTATCCTCGAGGCTTTCAGCTTCACCTTGAAAGTCCCTTGTACTAGATAGTGGTCTGAACCCACATCTGCTCCTCTCCTCGATCTTGTATCCAGTAGGCTCCGTCTCCACTTCCTTGAGATTGAAATGAAGTCTATCTGGTTTTTGGTGTGTCCATCTGGTGAAATCCATGTCGCCTTGTGTATATCTCTGTGTTTGAACACACTGCCACCAATCACCAAATCACTGAAGGCGCAGAAGTCTGAGAAGAGTTCACCATTGTCGTTCATTTCACCGAGGGCCTCACGACCCATGGTGAGTTCTCTTCCTGTATTGTCTCCTCCCAGTTTCGCATTCATGTCGCCTATCAGGATTTTGATGTCGCTCTTTGGGACGTTGTCCATTACTGTTTGTAGTTGACTGTAGAAATCCTCCTTCTTCTCTTTTTCTGAGACGTTTGTAGGCGCGTAGCATTGAATGATTGTAACCTTCCTTCCTTTTGAGTTGAACCTGGCTGTCATTATCCTGGAGGAGATTGGTTCCCACTGCATGAGAGCTTTAGCCGCTGTTGGTGACATCATGATGGCTACTCCCTCGGTGTGCTCGTGATCGTCCTCTGGGTGACCGGAGTAGATTATTGTCTCTCCAGTTGATAGTTGGCTCCTTCCACATCCGTTCCATCTGCTCTCACAGATTCCCAACACTTCTATTTTATATCTTCTCATTTCTGCGGCTACCTGAGCAGCCTTCCCAGCTTCGTACATTGTACGAACATTCCACGTCCCCATCCTTATTTTTGCTTTCATCGAAAGAAGGCACATCGGCTGACTGGCTTCCCGAAGGCTTTCACCAGCCTGCGTCATTTCACTTCTCCGATTCCAGCGAAAAATAAGGTCATTGTTTGTATTTTTAGAGTTTTTAATATATTTGTGCGTTGAAGTTTTAGTAGCAATTTGGTTAAGTTTTGGGGGTGGAGTTGCTAGCACCACTCCCCAACCCTCCCTCTTTATCCGGGCTTGGGACCGGCTAGAATACTAGTGACCTAGTAATCTAGGCGAGGTTTTTAAGAAAGTTTACAGAGGCTAAAATCTCGCGATGGGTCTCTGAGCAACTTCTGTTTCCCCTATCTAACTTTCTTCCGGCATATGCAGTAACTCTCTCTTACCCATAAAACATCACCTGAGAGTGTACAGCTCCGATCACTTGACAGCTAGCTTCAGTTTTTAAGATGAATGAGCCGTCTACATGGGATATATCTGAAAATGCTAATACGTTAGGGAAAGTCAGACATGTTTTAAGCTTATCAAATACCTCCTGGCACTCACTAGTCCCATCGAATTTACATCGTTTCTCAGCCAAGTGACGGAGTGAGGCTACTAGATTGACAAACTTTTAAAAAAGCGACTACCATGAAACTGTCGATGGGATCTATGTTTTCAATTTCGGAAGAAGCAAGTAGGCGACTACATCAACATTACATCCGTCAGTACTGATTCCTTGTGGCGTAATTTCATATCCTATTGATGTATCATATTTGTAAAACAGGGCATTTTGACGATGTCAACGTGAGGTTGCTGTCATAGTATGTAGAGGAACAGCTCTTAAATTGTATGATGTTCTTATATTGGCTGATCAAACATGGTCGTGTCATCAAGATAAATGATACAATGATTGGGGACCAAATCTGCAGTTATTATTTGCATTAACGGTAAGGACGTGGTGGGAGCATTCATAAGGCCGAACGGCACGGTTTGAAACTAATATAATCCGGTGGACAGGACGAAGCCAGATTAGGTTTTGTCTCTAAGGTATCTCATCCAGGTGCCAAAAGCGTAAGGCTAAGTCTTGTGTAGGCAACCTTAACTGACATCGCATTGAAAGCTTGAAACGACCGTAAACAACTTCCTGATAAACACGACAGGTGTACGTTAAATGCCACTGTCGTCTTATATCATAATATTGTCTCTAATTTAGACATAGATGCCAAATATATTCGGTGTGCCTTCCTTAATTATACATATGCCTTCAACTATGTACCTAGGCCTCTTTTGTTAAACAAGGTTGCTGCAACACAAGCAGGCTGCTGGATTACCAAATAGTTTCATTCTCATTTTTCTGGTGGGAAGCAGTGCACTGTTTACAATGGGAAGTCCTCTACTGATTCACTTACACTAGCTGGTGTTCCTTAGGGAGCTCTTCTTTCTTCTTATATGACTTGCCTCATTCTGGTGAAGCCAATTTTGTTAAGGATGTTCTGAGTGTTTCTATACCCGTTACTTCTCAGTCAGACTGTTCCAAAATGAATAACTTTTTATTAGAAATTAGTCAACGCTCCTCGTCAAGTGGTCTTTAGCTTAATCCCTTCAAATGTCAGGTGATTAATTTCACTTTCAGATGCAAGTGTGATATTAAGATCACATTATAGGAAAACAACAATGAGACAAAGGATCACTATACAGTGTGGCTGCAGAAAGGAAGTATTGGCCATATAAGGAGTGCAATAATCGAACATCTCGTCACCACTGGTCATTCCATCTCAACAAACGCCTCCTTCAAGGTAATCTGGAAAGTGAAGAACTACCTGCCAAAGACAATGCGTTTCCGTCTTCTCTACACTGCAGAAGCCCTATGCATTCAGTCAGAAGAACCAGAATCATGCATACAAAAGAAAATTCTCCAACCACTTCTACTATCATTGTAACAACTCTGTTGATTTGACTTAACTTTTGTTTGTATGATTATTTTTCTAACTACTTAAAACTCTTGCATAGTTTCGTAAGATATTTTGTTTCCATATACACCCTGAACGCAACTCTTTCATCAAACTATTCGTATTATTTCGTAACTCTTCTTTAAAAATCGTTTAGACAATTCATAACTTTTGTTACAATCCTCTTATATCAACAACCAATTCATATGAACTTAATAATTGTATTTTCGTTTGACAAATTTAATGTACACACACATACAAAATTAACCATACATATTTCCGATTTTACAACTATGAAAATGAATTCGCGGAAAGGAGACTCTTCGCTGAACTACTGGTCTTCACTCTATTAATGTTCGAATGGGGATTTTTATGAATTAAAAAGATAAACTTCCTTGCTCCCATTTCACTCGGGGTTTTCAAGAGCGTTGGTATGAAAACCAGTCTGTTACGTACATTAGTCCAGTCTGTATCCGAGATACTAGCGATAATCAACAACTTCATTTTCAAGCTGTACAGTCATAATTGTATCATTTATATATCCACTTCAACTCTATTCCCTTAATGAATCACTTTATGTATCGTTATTTTTGTCACATGTATATTGACTGAGTAATTTCTAGTGCCACTTTATACTTTTTTCCGTGATAGAAATGCGACTGAAAATGAAGTCGTTGAAAAGCGATATTTCTTCGCTGAAGAAATACTATGTTTTCCCCATGAATTTGTGGGTTTATTTCTCGATAGTCTAAGGACCTGAAGATGCTGATCATAACCTTTCGCCATCTACTAGTTTGACATTCTTCTCGGAGTCTTCAAATCAAAGTTGACTTGTTAACGGTCTTCTACAACACCGGTACCTGTGAAGCCTGAACCACAGTCCTAAACGCGATCAACAACAGAAAAACCCATAAAATTTAGTCGTTTTGAAAAAACGTTGGTC